CTTGGGTATTCTGCTTTCCTTAATAGAAAAACCCTGAAGTGCTTAGACTGCTGTGTCTCACTGTTTTGCTGGATTAAGAATGCAGCCACATGTTGTTTTTCATACTAAATGCAGAACACTTCTGTGCCCTTCTCCTGTGTCACCAATGAGCTTGCTTTCACCAAGGCAACAAGATTCATTAAACCCATATTTGCACTCTGCAAGCACAATACAAGACACACAGCCTACAAGCTTTTGCAACTCTGAAAGAGTAACATAAAAGTAACAGTCAGTTAACAAAGAAAATTTCCAAGGAAGGAAGGAAATTGTTTCAGCTACTAAAACGACACCATGGAATTCCCATTCTCATAAAAACCATCCATTTTCAAGTGTTATTGCATGTTTGCAAGTTGTATGTTTCTAAATTCAGTAGACCCAGATTGCATTATCACTCTTAATTTGCAAAATCTGAAAGAAAAATGTCTATATAAGGTTCAGGTAGTATGTAAAAAATGAATGCCTGGAATGATCTAATATTACCAAGATATTTATACTAAAACCTTACATTTTAGCAGAAGCCTGAGCTACAGGGAAATTGAAGTTATTATCGTTACAAAAATGGTGAAATACTATTTTTGGTCCTGTCATGAAAATTTCACACACAGTAACTTACAACTTTCCTTCTCATGGAATATGATTATGACATCCTTGCCTTCAAGTATGGCAGGGAATTTAGGGACCAGCTAAAAAAATTACTTCCTACAAAGTATTTTCAGGCCTCTTTTTTTTTTTTTTTTTTTTAACAACAATATGAACAGATTTTTCAGAGGCAGGGTTACTTCATTTTTGCCATTTAAAGAGAAAAAACTATCCTGATACCAGTTAGCAAAAGAGATTTTTACATAACTTTAAGCAAGGAGCTAGCTTTGAAATGAAAATTTACCCTGCAACCACAGTCTTAGTGTTGTATGCAGTCCAATGAGCGTATGAAGATAAGAGTCCAACATCTTAAGGTCTGACTGTGAATCTATAAAATACAGTAAGGAAAGCTTAATACATAATTGTATTTATATTTATGTACCCCTTTGTTGGTTTTGCTGCATTTTTAATAGATTTCATCCCATAAGATATTGTAAAACTTTGTAATTCACTCTTCACAGTTTCTTTTGCTTTACCAGGGGTGGAACATGCATAAGAAGATAATGATATTGTATGAAATGTCTTTATTGTATGTTTTTTGTAACCTAAAAAAAATTACTTTTCTACTTATTATAGAAACAGCAGTCTATCCCAACTGTATTAATGCAATCCAAATATTTAGCATAAATGTAGGTGGTTTTCCTCTGATCTTTAGGGATGCAACTTATAAATATTCATATACGTGGCTACGCTCACAAATGGGCTTTGGCTTTTCATTTTAAGTAAAATGCAACATGAATTGCTGCTTGATTTCCTGTATTTTCTGAGCTGACAATAGAAAGTTTTTAAAATAGAAAAGCAAAAAAAAAAAAGGCAGAAAAAGACATCTGTTAAATAAATTTTTAACACAAACCAACTTATATTACAATATCCACCAAATTGGAAGAATTTGTGAGACCCTTAAGAACCTACAAGTTACTGTTAATTACTGTTAAACAAAAATTCTTGGGGGGAGGGGGGGGAAGGAGGACATCACCCAATTTACATCTTGTCTTACCAAAAAATGCAATTCTAGCAATTATTCTTTCATGTCTACTACTGTGCATTCTTTGCATTAGACCATTCCTTCTTCTTATCCTAAAGTACATACAAATGTTTTGCTTACGTGAAGGCTTTCAGTGGAACTTTTATGCAAGATAAATACACAAATTACACTTCAGTCTGACCCGACATCCTCATGCAGAAGGAAAACAACATTCTACACTTATATTCTTACTTGTAACAAAGATTCATCAGAATTTTCTCAACTTTTATAACAACATAAACTTTACCTTAAACAAACTCATCTCTGAAAGACAAGCGCATAGTCCCAGCTTTGAAGAAGTATCACAGACTATTCAAAAGTCAGAAGTTTTGTTCACCTGGTTTGGCAGAGGTGGGGAGGGGGGTGTTGAGTCTACAAAAATGTCCATTACTTCTCAGGATGGAACTGATAAAATCTCTCCTGCAGCAGAGAGTTACCAATCAGAAAATGAAACACTATCTTCCAGTAGCTCTTTGGTAAACATATCTGTTACTAATTTCCCTGTTACTTCACCCTGACTAGCAACACATAGTTCCTACCTGTTTTGCCAGTGTCCGTACAGAACAATAAATGAAGCCTGGGAAAGTTAGCAAGATGACAAACATGGGCTTTATACACAGACACAGCAATTCATCAATGCAAAGAGCAGTTCTACTAGATTAATTATTTTCTAGTGTTTGAACAACATGTGCCATTGTCATAAAGTATAGCTGGCTAAAAACCAAACCTTGCTAAATCCAGTGGCTTCCCAGTAACAGACCCAACAGAAAACCTGTCTGGAAGTTCTACCACAATGCTAGATGGCAACTGTAGTTGGGTATGACAAACATCTCTTCTTATATTCGGGTGTGTTCCCTGGCCAGTCTACAACTGCCAAGATCCACCAGCCCCATCTCACTGAACCACTATGGCTGACTATAAGATTCCCAGTCCAAAGTCCATCTTGTGAGATGCAGTCTAGCTGAAGAACCTAAAAACAACAGTGAAGTACAAAGCGTTCTGATACCCATAAGCATAATTCTTACTGAGGCATGGAAGCAGTACTCTGCACTTTTGGGGGACTTGGAGATTCTTTTACAGTGTTTAATGTTTTTCATTCAACTCAGATGGGGAAAACCTTGGGTTGTCAAAAAACCTTAGCGCTCTGCTGGAGAAAAGATGCCTGTAAAATGGAAATGAGAAAGAGTTTATTTTGTGAGTATGCCTGTTTTGATGCATCACCAAATCTATTGTTATCCTTTAGCTTAGGGTTAAATGCGAAGCAAAAGAGAGAGCAAGGAAAAGCAGTTGTCTGAACAAGCTTGAGAAACCCTGTATACTCGGCCTATGCATAAGCCTCCTAAGTCACAGAATGTTACTAACACTTGAGTAACTACAGCTATTAAATCTTCCATTGCTAAAATTCAAAATACTGTATGTGGAATAAATGTGGACTAAAGAGAATTGCTAACATATGGTCTCAAGAATAAAAACATAAAAAAACCCATCAAACCAAACAACTGGAAGTATACCTACTGAAAGCACACACATGAAAAAACAGACTTTCCTAATAAAGATAGCCAATCTCAGCTATTGCAAGTTTCCCCATCTGCCATTTAAGCAATACTAATTTAAAAATAAAATAATTTTAAAGGAGAAGAATATACAAAATACATGTTATATGTACATGTACAGGTGAGGAATGAGCAAGTAATTAATAAACAATTAAGATAAAAATACTTTTGCATTTCATACAATTATCTTCTGAACTATTAAATACTAGATATAGAAAGGAAAAGATTGCACGCTTCTTCCAAGAAAAATTACAACACTTCACAGCGGCCATGGCCACAGGAGAAAGGTCTGAAAAACTGCTGAACAGGCACCTCCCCACAGAGGCAGAGACAAGAACCCCGGAGCTGAGCTGAGACTGCTGAACAGTCGCAAGGGGATATGCTGACATTCCCTTTATGCTTCAGGTCCCCACCACTTCACAACTCATTCCTGCAGAACAGGACTGGATTCCTTCTAGCCCAGCAGGAACCAAAACTGATACTTCTTCATATCTGCTAATGTTGCACAACTGTTTATGCCACATCATGGGGTTGTCCTATCATTAATTTTCCCAAATTCTGACACCATAAAATAGTGCTAAGATTTATTATTTCCAGTGATGACACAGAGGAATTTTTAAGTTAATGAAAGCCAAAGCAAATTTGAAAATAAATGCCAGCATTGTCTATCATAGATCAAGAAACAAACACAGCCTAAAATTCCATTTCAAATAAGCTGGTTCACTGACAGTATACCTAGCTCTGGCAACACAACTTCCAAAAAATACAAGTAAGGACTCAAAGAGAAAGTGGACTGATACAACAGGGTTGGAGTGTGCACATATAGTGTTTTCAATTGCCTAGATAAGATAACTGAGGAGAAGAGAAAAAACAACAAAGAAAGAAATAAATCAAATAAGTAATGTCATTCTAACTGTGCATATTACACCAGACAACCTTTCAAGATCAAGGACCTTTTCTTCTCTGCCTTTCTATGCTTTGTTGCACTCTAACTGGTCTGTGCTTGTAGCAAGTTTTCCCAAATACCCTTGCAAGCAACTCCATTTGTGTGTCCTTCCCAGCATTGCACCACAGTAGTTAAGAGCACAAGCCAAATACATGTTCCTAGAAGCTACAATATAGTTAAGAGACCCTCCTTAAAACACGTCCCTCAACACAATGAGGTGTGAGACAATTTAAACAGTTACTGTGGTAATAAAAAGCAGAAAATATAAGGCTATCAGATCAGATACTGGGGGAGGGAGAAGGTGAATATGATCCAATTTTACAAATAAAATGAGGACAAAAAAAATATTTGGGGCTTCATACAGAATATGCCAGAAAAGTTGAATGTCTTCCCTTGGATTTGATGAGTTTCTGGATCAACCCTGCCTGGGTTTTTAATCTGGGGACAAAGTTTCACTAAAGCTCCAGTCTGCTCACAAGAATAAGCTAGGACCACTGAGGTAATCCTAACCGATTAATCACAGCCGTGGGTCTGCATCACAAATTCACCATCAGTTTGGCGTGGCCCAACACTTTAACTTGAGTAGGTGTTGTGCTGGACATCACAACTGTTGTTAGAATAATGGCTTTAAGTACATATCCCACCTTATCCTTAGTCCTCTGCGTCTGAGTTTTGACAAGATATGAAACTACATTCGGACTTCATTCAGATATCCTTCAGGAAACATTTACATCATTTACAGCAGTCAAAACCCCTATGTTTCTTGGAATAGCCTGCATTTCTCCTGATCACATCATACCTCTTTGTACAGCATAACACCTGTGACACTGAAGTCAGTTTAAGGTAGCAGGACAGAAGCCAAAAGCTGTACCTGCAGACAAAACAACACAGTTTCATAAAGGAACAAGAAAGAGATCGATTGTGACAAAGACACACAGTGCCTCACAACGTCTGTAAGCAACAGAAGATAAATTTAGATGGTATCTACAAAACATGTTGGGGAGACAAGGAAATGATGGCAGAAGGGAACTTACTTGATTTTACTGAAGACAATGTCAACATCTGTGATTGTCACGTTCTTCCCATCTATCACATGACAGTCCTTACATAGCTTTGACCAGTTCTTCCCATGCATTTCTTTTCCTGTGGCTCTTGTATCACCATGGATGGCAAATCTCCTAAAGGCCTCTTCCAGAGCACTTACTTCTCCTGCCATAGCTCCCTCATGGGAGCTGTTTGAATCATAGGATAATCGTTTTGCTGCTCGGTCCTTTGCTGGATCTGAAGGAGACTTTGGAGGAGTCTTATTCACAGGTTTGGTCGACTTCGCTTTATTGTCAGCCATTGTGCTATAAAGAAGAGGAGGGTAAACTCATTACATGAATTTGCACTACTTTACTTTCTGTTAAGCTACACACTACAGTCCACGTCACAATGTAAGAAAAATAAGTGGTCTATAAAGTTAGCAAGAGCTCCATACCCTCCATCATCAAACAACAGTCTATACATAGAACTATGTAACTCTCTGCCCATCTAGAAAAAAATTCTGGCATATTAAAATAAAAAGTCAGGGAATGAACATTCTAAAACAGGGCACAAACCTAATTTCACTGTCACTTCATCAGCCAACAAGAGAACATTTAATGTTTGTTTGGGTTTTTTGAACAGCAATCACCACAGTCACTCTACTGATTTGAATACAAGCATGCGCTTTACGTTGAAGGCATTACTACCTACTTTTATTTCTGAAGGAAAAACAAACAACCCTTTATTTTCTGGACTGTGGCTTTTTAATTATTTTTTTTTTACTGAAAAATGAAATATTTTGAAAGTGCAGCAAAAATATTAATATTATAACCCTTATGTTACATAATGTAAGGGCTAACAAGTAAGGAAGCCTCATAAATGCTTAGATAAGCATCTCTTGTTAACAAAACCATTCATTTCCCAAGTTTATGCCCAAAGAACTGTACCTGTGGAATACATTTGGAATGAACAGATCCATGATGCAGGAGCACTGAGAAGGGATGCCATTACTGCAGAGAACAATTTTCAGATTACCCTGTGTTCATGTAGGATAAGTTTGCGTTTTAAAAGAAACCTTAAACTGAGCAACAGAACACTGAAGTTATTTTCAGGTGTCTTCATAAAGAAAAAAAAAAAAAATCCTAACATGCCAGAAGCATGCCATAGAAGCCTTTGCCTTCTGCCTATCCACGCTTGGCACTGAAAAGCCTAGGGACAGGGTGCACCATGTGCCTGTCCCAACAGCTAAGTGCAGACTGTTGTCCAGACTCATGTCTGTGGTCCTCCTATATATTTTAACCCATAAAGAGGTGCTTCAGGTATCAGAAGTTGGGCAAATACTGGATAAGGGCTGGAAAACCCACCATACTTACCTCATCCATTCTGAAGTCACATGTACATGGTATGTGACTAACATATGCAAAGATTTGTATGCATTTCTAGTTAAGGTTTTATTTCTGCATCAGATGGAAAGCGCTTTTGGCTTATACACTGTACTTCAGTACAAACTCCTCAGCAATGGAAACAATTCTAAAATTCTACCTCTTCTGATATTGCTTAACCTCTGTCACTTGAACCACTGAGGCGTACCCTTTCCTGCACACTGCAACAGAACTAACCATAACCAACCTTTTAATAAAAACTATACTAAAGGACCTTTGTCCTTTACACTTGAGCAAATGCAGTATGGTCAAAGCACTACTGTCTATTTTGAAAACATTTGAGCAAATGCTTAAAACCCTTGTTATATCTTAAGCCTGGAGATCCTTCCTTTGTTTACACTGTCAGCACAAGTTTTGTCCAACAAACCAAAATGCTAAATTAAAATTAATATGACAGGAACTTACTAACTGTAGCCTGAGAGTTATATGTGCATCTATGAAATAAAAAGAAAAGCACAGGGAGAGGGGAGGAGTTTGAAAATTTAAAGTTCATTAAAAAGTTAAAAGTTTAAACTATTCCCATTTCTATTGCCTTTGCGCTCTGCCTCTTCTCCACAGAACAGCAATTTTACCTCAATAAACCTTTCTGAAAGCCTCCCAACACTGAAACCCCAAAACAATAAGCACCCACAGTAAATTATACTACAAGTATTACAGATGCATACATTTTTACCAAAGTAGTACCTAGATCAGTCTAAACTGTCTGATTCATCAGGCTACACACATTCTTTTGCTACCAAAACAGTGGTGAGAGAACATAAGAAGAAAACAAAACCACTGCTGACACAGTCTATGCAAGAGAGAATTACATTAACAATCAGATTATGAAGATCTATGATCTAACTCTGTCTTCGAGGAAGCTTGACTTCCAAAAGCAGAAGTCTCTTCCATGCTTGCACCATTTCAAATCCACTGGAGCTGGAAACTAGAACCAGAAATTTTCCACGCCAACACTAACTGGCTAGAGAAAAAGAACAAGAGAGTACACATCAGCAAAAAGCAAAGTCTGTATTTTGATGTCTGTATAGGATATTAAAACCCAAAGTCACCTCCATAAGCAAGTAACAGGACAAAAGAAGGTGGAGATCTGCTACGGTAAGGTATATACAGCTCCTATAACTTTGCAATTTTATCTTGTGCCAAATAAAACTTCCAAGAGATTTTTGGGGATAGTCCCCTCTTGCTCTTAGAAATTCTGTCAACAAGTTGTAAGCAGAGTGAATATCCTTGAAAGATACAACAGTTGCACAGTTTACAAACTATAAGCAAGAAAGTCTGTGCTACTCTCTCTCACCTGAAATTAGAAAATAACCACATGCTTACATTTTTAAATATCTCCTGATCAAAATCTTTCTTCAGCCTACGCCTGTGCCCTGCTGGCCAACTCTGCCATGTCACCCATAACCATAACTCAACTTTGCTCAGCACAGCAGAAATGTGTTTTTAAAAGTAACTAGTGATTTCAAATCACGAGCCAAAATCCACACTTGAAAGGGTTCTGATTTTCTGAATCATGCAATTTTTAAAATTACTACATTATATTTTGTCTGTGCTACTGACTTATACTGTCTTCAATATGATAGCTGTATCTGTTGAAATTATTTTGTACTTACTTTCGGTTGCTAATAAATGAGAAGTTTATAAACTTGGTATAGGAAAAATGCTTAAAGGAACATATTTGGTCTTGAGAAAGATAGTTCACTTCTAGACTTAGTTCTCTAAGACATCAACACATGAACTTTGTATTGGGGTGTTTTGAGTAGTTCTGGGCCGGGGGAAACAGGACACACAGTATAGAAAAGGCTTCAGTTTTGAATGGTGAAATCTGGTATGCAAAGCAGACTAATTTCAAAGAAATCCTCACCATCTAAAGCAGAAGGTCAAGGATAAATTAAAACTAGGGCTCTGCTGTGGTTGTCAAAAATTGTCAGGGATACTCCTTTTCTTGTTGAACCATAATTACATTTTACTTGTTAAAGTCACATGTAATAGCATGAAATTTACTAAAGAGAAACTACCTGTTCTATTAAAATACTGACCTAGCCTCACCTTAAAATTTTGTTTCTTAACACTACAAACAACACACTCTTAAGACAAATATATTCATTAATATACTATATTAGAAGGTAAAGAATTGCACAACACAGGATATGAAGTCAGATTTTTAATGGCGTCAGCTCCTTCAACTTTTTTTAGAGATCAGAGATGAAGAAGGAGATCATGCACTGTTGAAGAAATGATCTCTCAAAGAGAGTAACCTGTTTGCCAAAAATTCAAGATCGAATGCAGTTTTGAGTCTTCCTTACTCTTTTTTCCCCTGTACAAAGGGATCAGAAAGTGCTCGCTACCTTCTGCTAGAAGCAAAGATTAGCAGTAACTCGGGGAGGGGCCACAGCAGGGTGACAGGCAGAAGTGACAAAAGAAAGTGACTACTCTAAAATATGAATTCTAAAATTCGGTAAAACAAAATTAAGCCACTGTTCAAAACCACAAGCTATGTAGATGCCAACTATAACAATTATACAGCTAACCAAAGAAATGCTTTTCATCACCATCTAAAAAGTCCATTATGCACACAGTTAGATAATACCATATTTCCAGAGCCAGCAGAAGAAGGAAGGCTAGCTACCAATCCATCCTCTCCAAATACTACTGGCTCCAACCTAGCAGGTCCACATCACCAAAAGCAGCCATGTAAGACATTAAGGAAAAGGTATAAGCAGACGCTAGAGTTCAGAAGGCTTTGTGAAAGAAAAACTGTCCCAAGAAAATGGAATTCCAGAAATCCACAGAACAGTTAGACAACAAAGGTGTTGTGTTATAAACTGCTATAGTCTGTGTCATGTAATACTCCTTTAGTAGCATGAAAAAACAGTACTTGTCCCTTCTCTCACTCTGCAATAGGTAATTAATACAGCACGTTACACAGGGATAGATATCTATACAGAGAGAGATTAAGCTAGGAATCAAACTGACTGAGGTCATGACTATCTCATGCTAAAATAGACTGAAAGTGCAGATCTGTGTTCCCAGCACATGTCTAACCCATTAGAAAAAGTTCTCATATCATCAAACTTCCTTTCAGCCAGAGACTATACTACATACTCATCCACAGACAGACAGCTGGGAGAACTCCCCTAGATAAAGTAATGTATTAATCTGCATTCTTCCAAAAAGATAAGTCTATGCCACAGCAGGTATACCTCTGGAGAGACCGTGGCTTATAGACAAGGCTCCACTTGGAGTGGATATAGCCTTATGGGACTGCAGGCTGTGGATAAGTCCAAGCCAGAGCAGGGGCAAGAAGAGGAGTTCATCACAATGTTAAACGCTATGGTCTGGTCCAAAGAGACCAGGGGTGGATATTGCAATGGAACTGCCTTTAAATTGTTGTAGCCTGGGATTTGAGTTGCATGTATGGTAATTTCTATAGCAGGAACCCCTTGTTGCTAGCCAGGCTTGGAGCAAGATGAACTCCTGTTCATCGTAATGTTAAACCCTATAAGCTGGCCCAAAGGGACCAGAGATGGAGATTGTGATGGATATACCTTTAAATTGTTGTAACCCATTATCTGAGTTGCATGTTATAGGAATTACTAGAGAAAGAACCACCTGAACCAACAGAGCACAAGCCTTACAAGACGCAGTGCAAGTGCAGCAGTGACCTGACCTGAGCTGGCTTTGGTGCCCAGTAACTCCACACAACACACCTCCTCTCCTGTCCCAAGTGACCAGCATAAGAGATGGATCCCAAAGTCATAGCCAAAATGAACAAAATGGCCATTTTGGTAAAATAACTGTCCTGGTTTCAGCTGGGATAGATTTAATTTTCTTCCTAGTAGCTGGTATAGTGCTGTGTTTTGGATTTAGTACTAGA